CGTGGCCCCCCCGGCAGCCCCGCGCTGGCAGGCAGTGCCATCCCGCACCACCACCCTGGTGCCCGTGCTGCCTCCAGGGTGCCACCGCAGCCACCAAAGGAAGGGGAGATGATGCAATTGCCTGCACATCAGCACCCAAGGGTGCACTCGTGCCCATTGTGGGTGCGTGGCCCCGTGGGCTCCCCCAGCTCCGCGCACCCGGCTCTTGCCGTGGCACCAGGCCAGGCGGCCGAGGACGGCAATGGGCAGCAGGCCAGGGAGCTTAGCGCAGCCAAGGCTGCCTGGGCCGCGGCCAAGGAGCTGGGATGCACCGGGCTCCTTGCGCCGCCTCCTTCCTGCCCCTGGGGCCGCACGGCCATGGGCAGAGCCCTGAGGTGGCACCGGGACCCCACATGATGAGCCCCCTGCCACCCACCCAGGTGATGCTGAGTGGCAGTGAGGCCAACCTGTGGGGCCACCACAGGGCTGGGGCACATGTGTCCCCCCATGTGTCCCAGCATCACCGGGGCATCAACGCGAGGTGGCTTCCCTGTCCCCAAAGGGACACCAAGCCTGACCCCAGCGCAGCCGCTCTCCTTCCCTCTGGGCAGCCCGGGGCCAGGTGCAGGGAGGAGATGCCAGAGGCTCCCAGGGCTGCCCGGGCAGGCAGGGCCCTGCGGAGGGACCGGCAGCCATGTTCAGCCTGCCCGGGCCCCTGGGAGCTGAAGGTCACCGCGCTCCTCCTCAGACTAAACAAGGCTGAGGGAGGGCCTTGGGCTAAACTGCAACCTGAGGCCTGGGCAGGGGCTGCGTGGGGCTGTCCACAAGGGACCCGCCCTGTGTCCTGTCCCACTCCCTGCTCTGGTGCTTGGAGGCCTCCTGGGCTCCATGGTGGTGAGTGGAATCCTGTCCCGTGTCCTCGTCCCGGCTACATGGCCCCTATGTGGCCCTGTGCCATGGCCCTGTCCCACCTCCAAGTCTCTGTTTCCTGTTCTTGTCCTTATCTCCATATCCCTGCCCCAGTTTCATGTCTCAGTCCTGGCTCCATATCTCAATGCCTTGTCCCTGTCCTAGCTCCCTGTGCTGCCTCCATGACCCTACACCATGTCCCTGTCTTGGTTCCCTGTCCCACCTCCATTTCCCCATCCTTCTCAATGCAGTCCCACGTGCCTAAACATCCCACGTCCTCAACATCCAGAGTGGCACCATCCGGGTGCCGGAGTTTCCCCAAGATGACTGATGGGCACCCTTCAGTGCATCTCCTGTCCACAGTGATGACTGCAGGGGAGGTCTGTGGGGTCCTGGTGCTCTGGGCAAACTCAGAAGCCACAAAACTACCTGCAGGTCCCCGAGCCTGGCCGAGCAGTGCCAGGGTGACGTCAGGGTGATGGTGAGTGGCTCAACGAGGTGTGTTCTTGTGCATATGTCACCTCCAGCCATGTCATCTTTAAGGCCCTAAGCTCAAGTGGCCACAGGGGCTTGTTCCTCCCACTGTCTCTGTGGCCAGTTCCATAGGTTGGACCATGTAGTCGATGACCAAGGGACCCTCTGCCAAGCTCCATCACGGCAGTGTCTGCTGGGTTCTCCAAACCCGCTGCAGAGCCAAGAGCACCCTCATGGCTCCAGCACACAGGGTGGTCACACTCCGCATCCTGGCGGATCTGGGGCCACCCCAGAGAGCAGGTGGTGGCTCCCGCAGCATCTGCACAGGGTGGTGGCCTTGCAATGGAACTTGGGCACAGAGCGGGGTCTGGGCTGAGATGCAGAGGGGCTCTGGGGCCATGGGGAGATCCCAGGTGGGGCTGCAGCACCCTCAGGAGTCCCCACTGGGCTCCCCGTCCCTAGCTCGTGTCCCGTTCAAGACCCCCAGGCCCTTGTGCGGCTGCTGCCCAGCGGGTCCCG